AATTTCAACAGCCGCACACACTGTCACTAGGTACTAGTATCTTTTCAAATATATTTTCTAGCTGGTAATTATCCATTTTAGAAAGTGAACCGAGTCCAGTCAATATCCGTTTTACGCCTCTTAGGCGCCGACTTTTTCTATATTGGAATCACGTAATCGTTTAACTTCCGACTTTGCCATTTTCAACCGCTTGTGTCACGGGGCTAACCATATTGACCACAGGGCGTTGTGCATTTTGAAGCTTCTCTTCCGTTTCTTTAAGCTTTTTCTCCGTTTTCTTTGAGTTTCGTTTCTAGTGTCACAAGCCTTCTACGCGAATTACCGCTACCGATAATGTAACGGCCTCTATGATCGGGTGTCACGTAACCGTCTCTCAAATCTTTAAAATGCTGATACCATTTCTTCTCTGAGTCATCTATATACGGCACCCATTTTTGTTGTGTATGATCGTACACCTCTATGGAAACCATGTTGTGTTTTGAAAGTAAAGGAGCAAAGATCATTCTTACTGTATTTTTATTCTCCATCTGATATGTGAATCTTCATCGTCATCATCTTTATTATTCTCACCATTAAAATCCTTGATGTCGTGATTGGGCCATAACGTCTCAAACAGGTCTTTTCTAAGTTTAACGGCTTGTCGGATAGATTCTTCAATGGTCATGTCGTGCTGATGTCTAAGTTTCTTCGCTGACTGGAGAATTTGTTGCTGAGAGGGGTCCTCTTGTAATGCGTAAAAGTCAATCAAAAACTGGGTATAATTTTGTCTTCATTTTCTTTCTCAAATGTGGCAACAAATCATTAGCAGTGCGAGCAATAAGCCTCATCAAAAGAGAATTCTTGATCTATGTAACTGTTTAGCCCGCCTTTAAATTGTTCTTTACAAAACTGTCGTAAAGGGTTTTTGAAATCTTCTAATCCATATGTTATGACGTTTGCGTTCTTCTTTGAGCTCTTCTTTTATACGCTTACCAGGGGGTCCCGTAAAAGAGAGACTTTCTTTTCATTCCAATATTTTCGTCGTCTGACTCATCCACCTCCTCCTCCTCATAATCATCATCAACATCATCATTTGAAGTATTGTCAGACAAGGTTTCTTCTCCACTAATCTCATTTTCGGAATCATCCGCAGGCTGTCTTTTCCTACCTTGACTTTCAAAAATGTTTTTCGCGCAAAACGGTTATGTTCTGGAGTAGAGGATTTCAAGTCTACCACTAGATAACCGTGCGGTCTCGATGTCGCTCGTTCGAAGCGTTTCATAAAGATGTTATAGGAGGAAGGATATATCTCCTCGCTAACGTAGCCACCTGCTGTCTGTCTGTTATTGAATAATACTAGGTACTGCGTATTCAACGCGATATCTCTGCAGGCTTTTTCCTTGAGGAAAATAAATTTTGAGTCAGATACACGATAGAATATGTTCCTGTGGTGACTGCCTTTGGTAAAAAGATCAGCAATTCTCTGGTTCACATTTGGCCTCTGTCATCAAATCGTCAAAAACAATCAAGTTCCTTTTACGGGTATTAATATACTCTTGAGACTATTCAAGTAGTCGGGGATACCTCGTACAAATTCTATCCAGGGTATGCTACGTTGAAGTTCATTGTACAGAGGCTGCCAATTGCCCCGTAACACCATATGATTGATGCGCTCTGGTGGCGGATTTTACTAGATCGGATAAAAGCAGTGTTTTAGTCCATTCAGTTTTTCCACTACCACTAGGCCCGGAGACGACCATGGGAAAATGGGTGTTGAAAATTCATCTTTTCTGAAGTGTCCCTATGAGTGATTTGTTGCGATAAAGAATCACTTTTTAACAGTGTCATCACTCCCATGTACATAACGTTGATGTCTCAGCATGACGTCACGTCTTGAGAAGACTGCTGCAAACAGAACACGATTCATTATAAAGTGTCCAGAAAGTACACGGGTAATTCTTCCATCTATGATAAATTCATCCTTCTTACGCTGTAGACAGTTTTTCTTTGTGATGTGCGGCGTGGAGTGCGCGTTGCGCGGGTTGCTTGCGGCGCGGCGGTGCGGGTGTTGGCGGCGCGGCGCGCGGCGGTGGCGGTGAATAAAGAATACATCCTATCAAATTGTAATTCCTCCGCTACATATTAATACGAAATATTTATTGTTATTAGTAGTCTTTTACCTCTTTCCGTAGTGTCATGACTTTGTCTTATACTTGAAGTAAAGCTCTTTTAGGCTTAATCACATAAGTAGAGTGTTTAAGTCTATTGCAGCGAATTGTAGCGGTCATTAAGACTCTAATATCATAAATACAGATAATTAGTCCTACTGCACTGTAAGCATTATAAAGCTGAAGATTGAAGACTGCTTGCATACAAAATATCATACATCTTGGTTCAAGTTGGTCGAAATGTGTTCAATCGTTGCTGACACACAATTCGAGTACGTAAATCAATGAAACAGTAGCTGTACATATAAGCATCACAAAATCCTATCATTTGATAATTTAAATGATAATGCGGGATTGTTTTCGACAAAGAAACACTTTCTCAACGTCAACTTTTCCAAGATTGACCATTGTCATAGCAATATGTAATGTGTTCTGTTGCCAATCCACCTTGCCGTAAGTTTGAAGTCAGAAGACTAAAGGTGGCTAAAGTGCTGCTTCTTATCATACTCCACGCAAAGTCATATTATTTTGTTTTGTAAGAACTCATCGTTCTCCATTTTTAATTGGTTATAAAAAAAGCAAAGACGGTTTAAGAACCGTCGTAACTGACCGAAACCATAGCATAGTAATTGTCATATAAGTTTGATAGGCTAAGAGTAAAGACCTGGGGTAATCCTATTTAGTATTTTAATGATTTTACGCAATGATGATTTTAATTTCGATTATCTATTCATAAAGATGCGCGCTGGACTTTATATTGATTCAAACACGCCTAAATCGGTTCCAGGCTGGGAATATACACTTTTAGCTCATGATTTCATTCCGTCCACATGCTTTTTAAATAGCGCAGGTAACAGGTGGGTAAAATCTTCAACGATATAACACGTATATATTCGTCAATATAACGAAGAATCGATTTGATCTGTGACGTCAATTTCCGGTGCATTATCGAAATACACAAAAAACGTAAAGATAAACCCATAAAACTATATATTTTTCTTTATCAGCGCGACGAGACGAAATCGATTGGAAAAACAGTTGTAACGTTTTTATTGACTTTCGCAATTTAGGGTTTAAAATCGCTCTTGCGTCATAACTCAAAAACGGCTGAAAATCGAATCGACAATGGGGTGTACATTAAGGTAATGAACTGTTCTTTCAATTGGTAGTCAAACAATTAAAAATCATATCGGATTCGGTTGCTCTAGTAACCAAAATATATATTTTTTACGCATGAGTGATTTTGACTTCCAGTATGAACATTACTATCGCCAGCGTCAGAATGTACTCGTCAAGACCTTCAATTTGATAACAAAACATGACTATGTTTCGTTCATAAACGAAAAAGTTATGCGCGTTTTTCCGCATGAGTGATTTTTGTCTGCCATATTGAAACTCTCCTATCTCAGAAACAGTAAAAGATAGATCTATATAATAATACATTTTCTGTATCTACTGGCAGAGATCTTTCAAACGGCATATAAATCTAAGGGTTTTATGAACTTTAAAAAAAAATGGTTTAAAAAACCTCGTTCTTCAATTTCATTGGCTAATCAAAAATAGCATACCGGTTTAAACCTGTCGTAACTGGACCGTTTAACGATAGGCTATAGTAACTTGTCATAAATAGTTTGATAGGCAAGGAGTAAAGACTGGGGGTAAGCTTATTTTAGTTATTTTAATGATTTTTACGCATGAGTGATTTTAATTTCGATTTTAGTCCGTATTCATAAAAGAGCGGCTAAAGACGTTTCATTTGATACCAACACGCCTTAGTTCGGCAGAATCTGTATAATTGATGCGTTGTAAAAATAAACCATCTTCATTGGTCCATATTTCAATTAATTCATCCCCTCCGGTTTATCAACCGTAACAAAAAAAGGTCCGTCAATTCTATTAATCTTTTGTGATTAATGAAAAGCTATATTTAGTAACGAAGGATAAAAGGGTTTTTGTTCAACATAGTTCCGCTAGGTATTGTAAATCTAGACTAAGTGGCGACTGTACTTGACGGTCGCTGCGTTTGAAAGGATAATAGATTCTTTTGTGATTAATAAAAAGTTATATTTAGTAACGAAGGATAAAGGGTTTTTGTTCAACATAGTTCCGCTAGGTATTGTGAATCTAGACTGAGCGGCGACTGTACTTAATGCCTTTTTTCTTTCATTGACACCCACGTGGGGCTGATGAAATAGCTCCTGGTGGTTGTGAAATACCGCGACTAAAAATAGATCATGCGCAGTCTACAAGAACGTTACGCTATGACAGTCATTTCCTTACTAAATGTAGGTAAGTAAACGAGTTATATTTGTATCAATATTATTTTGAACCTATTAAAAAACTATTTTTTATAAATTAAAATGTTAAGTACGTATCTATTTACAAACATTTCTTTTATCTGTCATGATGGTAATTATCTCTCCGTCTAGGGCCGAGGACCTGACCCTCAATGTCCGCGATTCAAGCCCTAAATCGTGTATACGAGTCAGCTCCGTATACTCCGAGAGATATTTTTTTATTCGCGTTTCTATTTATAACGTGATGATGTCAGTCTTAAAATAGAATTCAAAATGGCCGCCGCGCGTCTGTTATTCAACATGGCCGCCGCGCCTGTGTAGTGAGGTCATTTCTTCTATGCAAATGAGTTACTATTAATAGAAAACAACATGGCCGCCGCGCATGCGCACTAGTGGCGCCAAAGAGACCCCTATACTACATTTAAGTATTTTAAAGAAAAAAATATGATACGTTCGTGACAAAGATTAAAACATTTTTTGATGATGAGCTAGTCGTACAGATCAAAAGGAAGATAGTTACGCCCTGAAAATCGATTAAACTTTTCTCATCGTACGGATGTATACTTTCGACATTTCAGTTCTTGGCGTTGAAATTACATTAAAAAGTGACATACATAGATCTGAGCTTATAGACAAAGCGAGATATATCCTCAAAAAAGCTTTCGAATGTGCAGAAAAGAAAGCAGGAACATCTGAATACACACAGGTGGTTAAAGCTGTTGAGGAGCTCTTTGATGAAGTTGAGCGCCTAGGTGATGTCAAGATTTTACCACCTGAATTTAAATGCATTAATATGTATATTAGATGCACAACATGCACCGGTTTGTATAGATTGCTTCGTTACATTAAAAGTGATGCCTTTGAAAATCGTCTGCAAAAGATTGTAGCTGCAGTCAAAGAAGAAATGGCGGCTAAAGTTTCGACGTATTCTTTAATCTCAAGATTTATTCCAAAATGTCTTAATGAGATTCTTAAAACAATTAGTAAGTGAAATTTTATTACCTTTAATAAATCAATAAATAAGCTGTTAAAACACGCTGTTTAAACACGCTAATTAGCAAGGGCGCAGAGCGGAGTTAAATTAATGAAACGTCGCCCCACGCCCCCACTAATAAACGTGTTTTTGCTCTGCGTCCCCGCCATTTTAACATATAAATTCTCACCGTTTCGCTTCGCGGGGGCGCAGACGGAACACACTTATTAGCGGGAGCCTGCTAATAAGATTACTTTGCCCCGTGCTTCCACCGTTTCATTTATTAAAATTCGCTCCACTTCTCCACCCCCGCCATTTTAACTTGTTAATTATCGACTTTTCTCTTGACAATGCCGCGGGCCGAATTCACGCTAATTAGCGGGGGCACGGGACGAAGTTTTATTCATTAATCTTCGCCCCGTGAGCCCGCTAATCAGCGTGTTATCGGCCCGCGCCCGCCGTTTTAATTCTTAAATCTGGCTTCGCGACCCCGCGGGGCGAAGTTTTAATCATATTACATCCCCCGCGCCCCAGCAAATTAGTGTGTTTTTCCTCGATTCTTAATTCTCAATTTTTTGCTTGGCGGGGTAACGGGGCGAAAATACGAATGACACAAATCAGTCACGTGTATTGAGTTGCAGTGAAAGGCTATCATTTTTTTTTACATTTATTAAATGTAATTAAATCATGAAAAAAATATGTACAGCTAAAAATAAAGAATGCATGTCTTATGTCCATTTTACACTAGCAATCATTAGATATGCAAAATATAAACACTCTAAAACCAAACCCTGGCTCTCTGGCCCTGTGCCAGAAACATTGAAACATGTCAACTATCTGAATGACTGTACAAACAATTGTTCATCGATTTTGGGTGTAAACTTGACATTATTACTAATAATAATTCCATTCCGAAGGTGGAGGGATCAAAATTTAACATTTCTATTCGGCTGTTTGTCCCTCCCTATATTCGACTGTCAGCACCAAAATGTTGATAATAAACTGAGATTTCGGAAAATCAGAAGATTTTGAGGATTTGAACATTTTTACTGCTGCGCAAAATGTACTTAAAGTAACGATCAAAGGATTTTCATGTGTTGGTTAATTAATCACATCTTAAATACTTTTGGTGATATTTATTATGGTAAGAAGACAAGTAAACATTTAATTGACTGGATATGTTAATTAAGTCATGCATATATTTTAGGAAAATTACGCAAATTATTTCATTAACAGGTATATCGATGATATGATAAGATAGGTTGCTTCGCCAGCACCGCTATTAGCAGTCCGATTCTACTTATAAGTACTTTAATGATTTAAAATATCATGGTTCATGTTGAAGCGACATAGTTGCCTTCTAAACACTCTTTTTTAAATGCTGAAACCTTTTAATAAAATAATGTTGTTGTGGTTTTGATAAATGGTGATGTGATTTTGATAAACGTGATGTCATTTTGATTTTAAATATATTGATCACTTCAAATACCACCCAAAGGTTGTGTGAGCAAAGCCTGGAAATAAATGTTTTTTTTTCTAATTAGTACATAGCTTGTGTGTGGTATGAGTTTGATTGTCAAAGTATGACAAACGTACGTCACAAATCACCTTTGCATTTTCTTTTGTCTCATATTTCTACCGATAAAGGTTGCCCTTTTGAGCAATATGTCTTACAAATTTTAAGTTGTTACGTCATATTTTTTACTTTCAATTTAGCTGAAACTGAGTCAACATACATGTGCAAAGTTGAACTGCCGATTGAAGTGAGAAGTTGTGATGGAATTGTTCGAGTGGATCATTGGATAGGAAGTGGACAAGCACAAAAGAGCTTAAATGCAATTTCAGAAACAATTTCGTCTGAACTTGGGGCAACAATAGCAATGGAACCATCGTTAAATGTGAAAACAATTACAGTAACTCCAGAGTCCACCCGTATATCAACATTTATTTCTCAGATACCTGGTATAAATCTTTCAATGAACTTATGATAATTATACACAATTAAGTCGCAAGCATTTACTGCATTGAATTGTGACTTTCGTTTTTGTTATAATTGATAGAATTTCCTGGACAAAGATATATTAAGAGCTACAGAAAACATAATCTGTTAAATGCTAACCTTATGACAATTCTCCTTTTTCGTTCATATACTTTGAAATTGGTTAGCAATGTAGGTATGTTTAATAAGTGTCATTGTTATTCTAAAGTTCTTTTTCAGAGGTCAGCTTTCAGGAATGTTATGAAGATGTGGAAGATAATGAGGACAATGCTAATGAAACATCTGACATAATATGTACAGTTTCAGATACTAAGGAAAAAGATTGTATGCATTTATCTTCTTTATTTGTAGTTGTAGAAAAAAAATGAATTCATTTTTAAAACAAACATAATGTTAACATTAAGCACATTGACGTCTTGCTTCGATTATTGCTCAGTGAATCATTAGCACTTATAGCACTTATAACGACAAAAATTATTCAATGTAATTCTAAAATCATCATGAAAAATTATCATTGATGAATTGATAGTACACGTAATAAATCAAAGCTACCAATCCTTTGATATTTGCTAAAATTCATGTACATGCAAAATGCCTGATATCCGTGTTATAAAGTGTTGACGCACTTACATTTGTAATTATTGCATTGTATTGTTTTGGAAATGGATGTGTAAATAGTTTTGTAAAGACAAATTGATGCGTTGAAACCAATATGATAGAGCAAATACTTCATATGCGCTGAAGAGAAGCGACAAAATATTGTAATAAATGAAAAACACAAAATAGATAATGATACATTGTTCAAGAAGTGCAAATATTTTTTTATATATTATATTTTTTAAATATATTTTTGCCGCCTTTTCGAAGAAAAAAGGGGGATATAGAAAAAGACTCCGTCCGTCTGTACATCTGTCCGTTCGTCCGTCACACTTTCGTGTCCGGTCCATAACTTTGTCATTTATCAGAGGAATCTGAAATAACTTGGCACAAATGTTTGTTATAATAAGACGATGTGTTATGCGCAACAACCAGACCCTACCTCCAGGGTCAAGGTCGAACTTGCTCATTCAAGGTCAACATTTTCTATTTGAGGGTATATGTCGTGTCCGGTCCATAACTTTCTTATATTTGAAGGGATTTTGTAAATACTTGCCACAATTGTTCACAATAATGGGACAATGTGTCATGCGCAACAACCGGTCACCTACCTTTAACATCAATGTCACACCTTGAGGTCAAAGATTAACATAGTCTGTTGCGAGGTATATTTTGTGTCCGAACCATATTTTTTCATAGATCAAAGGATTTTGTAAATACATGCCACAAAAAGTCACTATAATAAGACGATTTGTCATGCGTAACACTTGCGTTCCTACCTCAAGTTCAAGGTCACACTTAGAGGTCAAAAGTTAACATAGTCTGTATAAGGGTGTATTTTGTGTCCGATCTAGAACTTCCTCGGGATTTTGAAATAACTAGGCACAATAATAAGACGATATGTCAAGTACAACACCTGCACCCCTATCTCTAAGGTCAAGGTCTCACTTTTAGGTCAAAGGTTAACAGAGTCTGTTATATGGTATATTTTGTGTCCCGTCCATAGCTTCTGCATATATCAAGGGATTTTGAAAATACTGGCGGAAATAGTCACAATGATAAGATCATATGTTATGCGTTACTATTGCGTCCCTACCTCCAAGGACAAGGTCACACGTAGAGGTCAAAAATTTACATATGATGTTATAGGGTATATTTTGTGTCCAGTCCATTACTGTTTTATAGATCAAGGGATTTTAAAAATACTTGGCACAAATATTCACAGTAATAAGACGATATGTCAGGCGCAAAACATGGGTCCCTACCTCCAAGGTCACACTAAGAGGTCAAAGATTAACATAGTCTGTTATAGGGTATATTTTGTGTCCGATCCATACTTTCTTCATAGTTCAAGGGATTTTGAAAATACTTGGCTCAAAAAGTGACAATAATAAGACGATATGTCTTGCACAACACCTGCATCCCTACTTCCAAGGTCAAGGTCAAACTTGGAGGTCAAAGCTTAACATGATTGATTTTTAAATTCCTTGTTTCATTTTATTTCTTTAATAATTTTTTTGTTGCATTTGCAGATCTAGCATTGGTCATAATTTTGGACTGAAAGTCCTGAAATCCATACCTCAATCTTCTGAAATAGCACCATTTTATGATTCATATCAAACTTCCCCGAGGAGGGGGACGTTGGTAACTCTGTTACACATTCGTGTTCATTTTTATTAGTCCCCTACCGGTTTACCGAAGTGGACTTAAGGTTTACCTTCCGCCCGTCCGTCTGTCAGTCCGTTCGTCCACAACACTAGATCCCGGGATAACGCAAAAAGGAACTGAAAATATTTTTATGAAACTTGATATATGGATAGATGGCATTCTTGAAAGTATGAAAGTTTTTTTCTTTTCTTCCTATGTTGAAAATTCTTGTTGCTATGGCAACAAATAGACTGAAAATATGGCAAATTTTACACATAAATTGGATCAATTGATAACAAAAAAAAGTACTAGAAATATTTTTATGAAACTTGACATGAGATTAATTGGCAGTCTAAAGATTATGCACGTCCTTTTCTTTTCTTCCTATGTTGAAAATCCTAGTTGCTATTGCAAACAAATAGACTGAAAATGTGGCAAATTTTGCACATAAACTTGATCCAGTGATAACGCAAAAAGTACTAAAAATAATTATATGAAACTTGAAATATGGGTTGATGGCAGTCTGGAAATTATGAACGTCCTTATCTTGTTTTCCTATGTTGAAAATTCTGGTTGCTATGACAACAAATAGACTGAAAATATGGCAAATTGAACACATACACTGATTCTAGTGATAATGCAAAAAGTAATGAAAGTATTTTTATGAAACTTGAAATATTGGTAGATGTAAGTCTGAGATTATGGATGTCTTTTTCTTTTTTTCCTATGTTAAAAAATTGCTTGCCAAGGCAACAAATAGGCTAAAAATGGCAAATATAACAAATATTTGTGATTAGTCAAAAAGAGCTGAAAATTTTAATATCTTAAAATATGGTTAGATGGCAGTATGGAAATTATACACATCATTTTATTCTTGACTATAACTATAGGGAGTATTACTTAACAAACGTCGGCAACCTTTTCAAGATTTCTGATTCTAGTTTTAAGGCTTTTTCACTATAAGTTCTGTATTTTTTAAGGTATTTATTTCAAACTTCAAATATAGGTTTCTGGTCATCAACCACATCATATGTTTCAAAAGTTAACATTTCTAGCACAAACATTATCAGAATTGCCTCCCTTGAACTTAAAATTTTCATTATTTTTTTTAAATAACATCTTTATTACTTAATGTATCTTCTTCAAACTTCATATATATGTTTCTTACTCACTCAAATCATTTGTGGGACAGTTTAATACTCTTGTAAGACTATTTCCAAAATTATGTCTCCCTTGAACTTAGATTTTTGTCCGAGAAATTGGTATATTTTACTCCAACTTCTTCATTTTTACTTATAGGATTTACTTTAATTCCCCACATCATGATAATATGGTATAAATCTAGCATCCATATTTTCAGAATTATCTCATATTCATTCTTTTAACTTTCTCTTACCTCAAATCAATATAAACATTCATTATCAACACCTTCATTACTAATTGTTCTTTGTTACACTCACATTATGTATGACGACTTGCATCTTTATACCAAGAGTAATCTCCTCTTTAAGAATTTTGCTTTTAAAAATGTTATATTTTGGTAACAGGGATGTTTACAAAAGTAACTTTAGAGTGTCCTTCAGTCCGTCTGTTTGTCTGTTCATAAAAACTGTTTCCTGTGATCATTATTAAAGAACTTTTTCTAACAAATTTACTTAAAATAGAAACATTAGTGAATGGTCAATGGTCCTTCAGAATTTTGAGCGGGTTCTAACCGGTAGGGGACTTATGGATTGCTTTAAATATTATGATAATTGCTTGTTAACAATGCGCTACTTAACAAAATAATAGTACAAAAAGAGAATATTACTCTAAACCAAATATACTCATGCTTGAGAAATCAATGCCGTAAAAGTATTCACTGTATAAGTGATTTCAAGAAAACAAACTACAAATTAATATTAGTACTCGTAATATATTCATACATTTAAGTTCTCAGTTTGAATTACTATTAGACTAGATTAACATACTTAGATACCACTCTTTAAGATCAGTATCTTTCACATTGATTAACTTCATATTAACAGCAATACATATTTTCGTCTTTTATGATGTAAAAACTTGGACAAATTGAAATTTTATATGTTCCATAAATAAAATCGTTGTTGACATAATTTCAACTTTAGGCCTGGTGGTTTTTTGTTTCTTTGATAGTTCAAATACGTTTCCCGCTCTTCGGTCCGGGTCATTTTAAAAACTATAACTTTGATTGTTAAATGTTAGCTGTGCAAAACACTTTTTAACATGTTTGTTTTCACTGGTTAATTTTTTAAAATTTCATTGAAGATAAAAATGTGGAGTTTGAAGTCGGTGAAGTATCAAACAGACATTTACTTTCATATACTGAGAAAACTGAAAATATTGAAGGTAAATATTTTTTTTAATTTACTTCCATTCGTAGAAAAGTATTTCAGTCTTTTAAAAACTTTTTTTATAGATTCATAAATTTGATATCTTGACCTTCATCACAAGTCGATGCCCTGCTCAGTTAATTGAAACGTATTGCCTGATCACTGATCAATGAACCCTAATCAAGAATAATTTCGCACTTGTAACAATAATAAAGAGGACTATAGTGACTGAGGGATATTGTTTTATAATAAGCAAGCTAGATGAGCATTACTAAAACCAAATTTTGCAAGCTGTATTCACTTATATTTAATTATTGCTACATATTTCTACAAAATGCCTAAAACAAACACTGGTGAGTAAAAGGTAAATTATTCAAACCGCACAGGTAGCCGTCACATACTGATGTGTTATTTAAGATTAAACCTGAATGTGATTGAAGGACCTTCAAAGTAAAGTTTAAGTTGTCAAATTTAAATTCCGAATCTCAAGAAAATTTCGCAAGCTCCTAACTGGAGAACTCATCCCATTCTGGATAATTTCTGAGTTCAATGACTTATAGTTTTACTTTGTCAGTTTCATCATTGATATTAATTCAAACATTTTCTCGAAATAAATATCAGTTATCAAAACATTCGATTCAAACTGTATATAACTACTTGTAAATGTCAATTTTAACGTGATTTTATTGATCTAGTTCAATAGCGAATGTTGCTTATTCAATTAACATTGCTTTTTATCAAATTTTATTTTTGTTCATGAGATCTCTGTAAACATACGAGGGGTTATCAAACATTCGTGGACTTTCTTTGTTGCGTAAAATATTTTAGATATTGATTTGAAATTCTTACACCGCTGAGAAGAATTAATAACAAATAAACACAATAAAATCATGATAGTAGCTTCTTTTATTTCAGCTGTATATAATTTTACATAAACACCTGTCAGTGACAGCGGCGCACTCCAAAGAGTTATTGAGGTCGACATAATAATAATGTACAACTTGCGCTTGAACGTTACGCAATCAATGACCGTAACTGCATCTCAACGTAATGTCCATCACAAAAATCTTATATGCCACTCGTGAAAGATTACTTTCTCTTTTCGCCTGCTGAATTTTTTTCAAATGTTTGTGTAGGTGTCATTCCCAAATTACAACAAAATTTTATGATCACACAATTTTCTAATTTCTGCGTGCCCGTCTTTTCCCGTTGTATACATAGTCTGGGTATGGTATAATTTTACGGTTATTGGAAATTATACTTGGAAGAATTTTACATAAGAAGCGCTGAAGAGCTATAGGTTAACTATTGTTATACCATTACATTGGCTCCTATTTTCCGAAAATATCAAACTCTTATAATCCGCATGATGTTAAACCAGTATGTTATATTCATAATCATTTTTGTAACAATGTACCATGTAGAAATTCTGAATAAGTGTTGGTTAAATAGGGAATTTATGGACCGATATGAATAAAATAACTATATAATGCGAGCCTCAGGTGAACATAAGTTTGTTTTACCCAAAGAGTAATGCTGACAACATGTGCTCATCTGATGCAAGGCTGATTTAAGTTATTGTCAAAACAATCCTTTTTGAACAACAACAACTCCAACCACATAATACAGCATAAGATAATTAATATATTTCCATTTAGCGATTTCCTTAATATAAAATATCATGACAAACATACTTTAAGGTACGCTCAAAATTGTTGAAGAATTCAAATTAAATATTACTCAAGAAACGTAGATGCGATATAAGATTCGCTTGTATTGACATGGAATAGTTGCATTTCGTAATGATTTTTGCATGCTTGTGAGCTTACTATGTTTCACATTAACAATTCGTTTTTGTTTTCTCTGAAATTCCTATACTTGCTACAATTGGTATAAATTCGCAAACTGTTGCAAAAGTGTATAAAGGGTCGCTCTATATGCAAATTAGCCTTTCACAATTTTACAGCTTGCAACTGCTCACGACAAGCGACGAAAGCTTTCCAATTGGTAAACGTTTTTATTTGGATTTTGATGAATGTCAGATAAAGTAGCAGATCACTTATAAATAAGCAACATGTTGAAAATCTGACGTAATTTTACAGAGAATCAAAAAGGCCACAAACGTATATGGTGCGAATATAACTATGTATATAGACAAACATAAAATTATGGTTATGCATTCTGTTAAATTCCTTACCGCCAGGAGAGAAAATGCTTGGCAAAATGTTTTATTTTTACATTATATCTTCTAATTGTCTGCCTAAATTAACCAACTTTATAGAATTATAAATTAGTATCTAATTGCTATTTCATTATTATGCATGCAGAAACAGAAGGTTCAAAATATGTAACTATTGAAATTTTATCGGATTTCGTAAAAATTGAAAGCCATTTGTATTTTGATAATTGATTAAGTTTGCCAGAAAATATTTGTAATCGTTCATTTAAAAGTAATCAAGGGTCACGGGGTTAATCTATTTTAAATCCGTATTAACTCCGAGAAGGTTATAAATAACCTGACAGGTGTTCCGAGTGCCTTAAATTTCATCTAGTGTTGTCAACATATTTTGGTCTGATTCTCCAGGATTAACAACCTTTGCCAAATAGGATACTTTGATTTATTGATGCATAAAATCAATACAAAATGGAATAATCAGATTTCTCATGTACTATTTCATACCCTGCAAACTGTTTAAAAACTAAGATATTCGATGGGATCTATACTTGTAAGCAATGAAATTTAAGTTTTGTTAGGGGCACAGAAAGTGTATGTGAATCTACGGGGTTGTTTAGTAATAAATCCCGTTCATAGTTAAACTGGCAAAATTGTATCAAAAGATCTTATGGATTCGAACTCAAAAATATCGGCACAAACGTGTTTAATATTTGTAATGAAGGCAAAACAGATTCATGCTTGTCTTTAACTGTTTAACTTGTTTGTCCCTCGTCAAATCATTTTTATTTCCAACTTACACTGCTTCATTTTTACGATATCTATAATTAGTCCTATTATTCACCTTTCTTTTAGGAACAGATGAGTTATTTAGATCCCTGATACTCATAAAAAGTAAAAAAAGCAAAGACTCGTGTGACAGTGGAATAGGCGATTCCAATTCAAACAAGGTATTTTCAGAACAGTTATCTATTATCTGCAGCAACTGTTAGCCAACACAATTGCAATACATTCGTCAATTCTTTTTTTTTTCGAAGAGGTTATCGTAACATCTAGTACGGGAGTGACCTGGTGCAAAATCTTAAGTTTTAAAAATCTATAAAAATATCTTCTAAAAATACTTTAAAAACGGTTAATTAAGCTATAAAAGCCTAGTAATGATAAACACAACATTAAGAAAGACTATTTACAAACTCCTCTTTAGGTTTTTGTAACAATGTAATGGACCAAAAGGGAATTTCAAATATTCACAGTTATGAGAAAAGAACAGGTATATATCCTAATAAGGAGGAAAAAAATCTAAAGAAAAAAAAAAGAAAAAAACCTTTTAAATGAGACAATAAAATATTAATGAACTTTACAGTTTCTTTATATGGAGTACAAAAGCTAAATAAGAACCTGGCTGATTAGATTTCGTAAACTTTTTGGACAATCTGCTAATAAGGAATTATAGTCTTAACAAAATGTGCATTTTTCTCCTTATAAAGTATTTATAATCTTTATTTTTTCCTTGACTGTTATGTTTTTCTACTTAAATGTTTTATAACTTTTAAGTAGAAGATACACAGTTTTTATCAGTTTTAATTGTTTTACAAAGGTTTCTGTTCAATAGCTATAACGTCATTTTAGATCAATTGTATTTTGAACATACACGTGAACACGTGAGAACATATTTGAAACGGGGAAATTGTCTTGACAGCTTTTGAATAAAAAATCTAAATTGTAAGCGATAAACAAACAAAAAAGCATTTTTACAAAGCATATTTTCTTTTTTACAGACTGGCCAATCAACTGCCTCTTCTATAAAGTCATCTAAAGCTAATGATGAGGATGAGCAAAGTGATACAGATGATCCACCAAGAAAGAAAATAAGACGAGGTAAATTTTATTTCCAAGCAGTCAACGTTTCTTTCGTTTCTAATAAGATATTGAAATGCAATTTATTTTAACTGACCATGACTTATTTCATTAAAATAAAGCATCGACAGTGAAGATTATTAATTTAAAATAACTTCAGCACAATGCAGAAAGTTTATTTTATGTTTGCTCGATATTACTACTTTGTTTTGCAACTTTTAACCATCAGTAACCACAGTGAGTATTTCTTATATGTACAGAGCAATATAGACTGATGTGTCTATGAGCCTTTATACTCAGTTTCATTCTTTTGCGTATAACACATTCTATTTACAAGAGAAGGGAAATGTCAAAACAAAACAAGGCTAAATCTTTCTATGATTGTTAAACATCATGATAATGCAAGTAATCTGGGCATCACAATTGAAATTTTATACGGATTAGATTTTCAGTCTAAGAAAGGGCATTTGCAATTTCGCGATGTATGTTACAGATTGTCTGGTAGAAGGATATAGATCTCCGAAATGATATATTATATGCTCCGGGCAATAATCACAAATGAAAATTGATAAAACGATGTGTCATTTTTATTCATTCATGACACTTGTATAGATTTGTATAAATACATTCTTATTGATTGTTGTTTACTTTTAACCACTTGAATAAAAATATATGCGTTATAATCGTAATCAAAATAATATGTTTGATAAATACATAATTATTTGGTTCATCATTTTCATTTCTTTCAATACAGACTTACCTGATGTGACAATGGGAATGGCTGTGGACCTGCGAAAAAGAAATGATAGTTGCATTGCAATGACTACAATCGGTCCACTCGTCTTTGTAGATGGGACAAATGCAAGGTGTTTTATAACCGTCAGCGATATGAGTAACATACTGAAAACGGCATTTCTTCCTAGCTGTAAAAAGAATGCAGAGATTATACAGAAAACCCCAGACGATAATATTATATTGGTTGAAGTCGTTGATGATGCAGACTCTGTATCGAAAAATGAAGGTATGCTATTTTGCTGTTTGTGCCGTGTGCATAAATAGTAAATGCAAACATACATGTACAATCAATGATGTTGTTTGTCCAACCTTTTACGAAAATACAGCTCATATAAAGTTTCATAATGATTGTTTATTATTTATCGACTTGCTTGAGTTCGTCAAAGAAATATGCAAGTTTTTATCATTATCAAAATTTATTTATTGAACGGATTTGCCCTTGTAAGATTGCTTTTTTATTATACCCTTGTAATCATTAAACACAATATCTAAATAATTGTGAACATTTATAAAAGGAATAAATCTTATCATAAAATATATTTTAGAAAAAAATTAAATCTATATTTACACTTTCAGACAAAGGTTTAGAAGGGGCCCAAGGTGATGAAAAATTTAACCCAAAAAACATTTCAGTGGGAACGATAGTATATAAAATGGGTGTGTCGTCTGGGCTTACAAAAGGATTGATATATGGTTCCGGGCAATTGGAAAAGGGGCAGGATATAATGTATGCCACATCATTACCAGGTGGTTCCCAAGAAAACACATTTGCAAAGCCTGGTGATGCTGGAGCTGCTGTTTTTTGTGAGATTGACGATAATTACATCTGCATTGGAATTCTGCTAGGTTTTACAATAAACCTCACTGGCAAGAAAATTCCTCTTGATCATAATACGATGAGTTCGCAGGTATCAAATTCAATATAGAATTATATGATTCGTGTTATCATTAGCGTATTAACTGTTCATTTTGTCACTGTTTACTCACCCCTTGCGTCGCATTGCTCATTCAATCAATAACAGCGAACAATTATTAAAGGAGAAATGATAATGAGATCTTAAGAAAATTGAAGACGACACAAAATTGGCAAGTTTTATAAAACTTATGTCATAATGATCCACCAATGGGTCACTTAGTCACTTCTTTACTTTTATTGGAAAATACATTATAAGACTAGTCTTCTTTAGCAAAACTTAAATGTCCAGATATTTAAATATTTGGCATAGGAATTCCATTGTGATTCTCTTGTGGATCTTCTACTTTAGCTAAGTAATTAGTGACCTTTGTGGTCGCTCATTTTACACAGGCTCTTTCATATCCCTCATGTACACACCAAATCAAACCGAGTTCGCAGTTTTCATGTAATTTTGTTTATTCTGGCATAATTAAACACCCTGCAATAAGATAAAATTAAGTCTAGCACGCATACAAAGAAAATAAATAAGATTTAAATTATCATCTTTGAATGTGTGATGACAAAATATAATTTAAAAACATTTATATAAGTAATATGCAAATGTCTGAATCTGTCAGGTTTGTTTGGGTTAATTAATAAGATAAGGTAAAGATTTGCATTCATACCAAAAAAAAAATTATAATATACTAAAAAATATTTATATAAATAAAAAGATAATGCGAAATCGTCCTAATGGCAATCGTCTTACTATTAACTGCAGTATAATATATACATAAATATCTTAATGATGTTGTCACATTTGAATGTCTGGATTCAAAATAAATAGGTCAGCATTTGGCAATTCATTATTATTTAAGGACATGGTGAAATGTCCGGGGTCCGTACTCTCAGTGCCTGAAAAGGAGGATGGTACCTTAATAAACTCGGAACACATACAAACATGATGTTGAATGATGTTAAAAAGCCGTCCGGTTAACCTCAATCGATAGAGCTTTGAACGACTGTGAATTATGCGACATGGGTCACTTTCGTTGTGACTGATCATAAAAAATTGTTTGTACGGTCATTCGCACTGTACCTCTGCTCTTGCATGAACAGAAGGTTCAGTTCCTTGCAAAAGGTGGGAACGTTTACTGGTTTCGTGATCCGGAGTAAAAACTACCACCATCATAATGTTAAATTGTGATTGTTGAATAATATAGAGCTACACTTTGTAAGCTTCAGCTAAGATATTTGATATGAATCATTATTACGTTGACATCAACAAGTAAATTACAGTCACTAGGTAAACATTAACCCAACTTGGGTGTTGGTTGGACTTAGATTATCATCATATGTAAATAGTAAAACAATTATCACTGAAACTTAAAGAGCTAAAGATGTTGCTGATCCCTTATTTAGCAAAACATATACAAGTAATCATAAGCAAATGTTTAGTGATGTTCCAATTTCTGAAAATAAAGAATGGTTTGACTATGAGTGTAAACATGTTAAGCAATTAAATGATAATGCATTAAAAAGAAATGATATGAATAAGACACATTTTAATAGGGAAGAATCTTTTTTTTTTTTAAAATGCATATAAAAGGATTGTTAACGGAAAAGAAAAATGTATGATTTGAAGACTATATAGCGTATTGAAAATTTACGGTATTCTAAGCCGAGAGAGTTTTGGAAGTATTTTAACAGTAAAAGTAAATCACAACATAATATTGAGTTAGACGATTTTTTAAATTATTTTTCACAACTTGGTAATGATATATTTTAAGCGAGAAATGAAGAAGCAGAACGCTTTACTTCAGATAATGATTTTAATGACTTAAATGGGTCAGATGAGATTTTAGATTAACCTTTTTCTGTAAATGAAATAATTTAAAAATGTTAAGACGTTAAAGAGAGATAAATCTCCTGGTATTGATTTGTTATTGAACGAATATTTTTTAGAAGCTATAGATATATTTTCATCTCATATATGTGATATTTTTAAATATATCCTTGATAGTGGTCATTTTCCTGATATGTGGACTGAGGGCGTTATTGTTCCATTACATAATAAAGGCGATAAAAATGACGTAAATAATTACAGGGGAATCACGCTTGTAAGTTGTTTGTCGAAATTATTTACATCAATTATGAATAAAAGGATTATGACTTATTGGAATGAAAATAATATTATATTTGATGCGCAGTTTGAATTTAGAAAAGGAAAATCGACATATGATGCTTTGTTTATCTTGTTAACATTAGTTCAGAAGTATTTAAATGAAAATAAACACCTTTATTGTGTTTTTACTGATTTTAAAAAATGTTTTAACAGGATATATAGAAATGGCCTATGGTTAAAGCTTTATAAAAGTGGAATTAATGGTAAAATGCTACGTA